ATAATATTAAGCTCCTTGTGTGAAGTACCTGGCAGGATTCCCTCAAGAGAGACAGGTCACTTTTAAAAACAAGTATCTGCTGCTCTACTGATTGAAGCTAGTTTTAGTATGTATCAAAATATGTGCAGTAGCTATGTGGACGTATGTACTAAATTTGTCAGATGTGTGTTGAGTCTGTCATCCCTACAGAAGTTAATCAACAAGTGGAGCAGAGTCGGGGAAAGCCCTTTTCTCTCTCTCTTCCCTTTTTTTGTTGTGAGCTGCTGTTTTCTTTCTCTTCTACTTTTGTTTTGTTGCCCTATGCATAGTGTTTTGGGCTGTCATGGGGGTTGCTTGGAATGGCTTTGGCACTGGAAATTGCAACATCTGGAAATTGCCTCTGCCTTGGGACAAAATACAATACACAAGAATGGGTGGAGTAGAAAAAAGCAACCAGTAACCTCAGCTCCCAACTGTCTTTCCACTTACCCACTCCCTAGTAGTTTGCATCCAGAAAAAATAACACTTTTCTACATGGTTGGACGTGCAGCTCCATGCAGGGAACTGGACAATGACATGTTAGTGTTCAAAAAGGATTTATAACATGTAACTTGTCTTCTCTGGTTCATTTGGTCTTCTCTGGTACATTTTCCTTCCTATTCTTGAGGGTTTGAGCAACCCATGCACTGGGCTGTGCTGGAGGAGCAATTTCTGAACTTGCTAATATGGCAGCACCAGCTTCCCGCCTGTTTGCTGGTTTTCTTACTTTTGTTGTTGAGTCCATCATGTTCTGCCAGTTCAGAGAGAACTTTCTACATTAGTTTAACAAAGCATTCCCTTCTTGTTTTCTACTATTCAATATTTCACAGCTTTGCATACTGGAATCTTACCATCTCGCTGGACCAGCGTGGCTGTCTGGCTGAGCTCGGCTGAAGGTTAGCATCGTCGAAGCCTTATAAGAAAAATATCTGCCAGCTGCTGGCAAGAGGCCTGACTCTACCAGCCTGTAGACTGCAACCTCTTTGTAGTTTTGTGCTCTTTATTCAGGATGTGGATATGGCTTACTGTAGTTGAGAGGTCCCTGGTCTGAATGTGTTGCCACTGATTGTTCTCCTGAATGCTGGCTCCTGTGAATTGGCAATGACGGGCAGCAGGGTTCAGAAAGCTCTTCGGCAGATGTGGTTGCTGCTGAGAGAAGACATGTCCGCATCTTTAGCACCGAGTGAGATCATAGGAAAAGGAGAGCATGCTCCTCCAACCTCATGAAGAGTTGCACAAGATTCCTTTGACAAATAGGAATATTGAAAGTTTAATAGAATGGCTGAAATTTACGGTGATACTCATCTTGTGAACAAATGCATGTGCAGATATTTACTATGCTGATTGTAACTAGAATTTCTTCTGACTTTAAAACACCTTTGTTGTTGTCCCTGATAGATGTAAACCTGCAATTTGCTTCACCTCTCCTTCCAGTAGGCCATCCTGGGGAATAACAACTTCCTTTCTCTTGATGTAGAGGAAAACCCGCATCTGAAGGTACTGGTTTTAGGTTCTTCTGTGGATGCCTTCTTGTTTCAAGACACTTCATGCTGCATGTGAGGGATTTTTTGGTTTCCTCCCACTGCCCAAGTTTTAGACCTTGACTGGTAAACCTCTCAAGTTCTGCACTAAGAAAACAATCTGAAGAAAATGAAAATCCATGTTTCACAGTCATACAGTGTAATGCTTCCCAAAACCAGCCGTTTTACTTTGTGACTTGTAGATGTTGATCGCTTCTGTTGCCTGTTTTGTGGTGCTCTCCTTGGCCTTTGTGTCTGTATAGGGTTCTGCTGTACTCATCAGAGGGCTGCCTGTAGACCCTGCTGTAGGCTGCACCTTCTGCCTCAGTCTCTTGAGTAGGAAGTGATAAATGTGAGCCTTGTTATACTGCCTGACAGAGATAAATTATGTTAATGTAGTAATAAAGTGGTTATTTATATTACTGGACATTCATAAGTCAAGAAGATACTTAGGTTGTAATTCTGCTGCCCCTGCTTGATGGAATCTTATGTCAAAGAGGAGAAAAATAATGTTTGGGGTTTTTTAGCCCATTCCTAAAGCAATCAAAGGAATGTTGTTGCTACTGTTTTTGTGCATCTAAGTCTGAGCAAGCTCAGCTGTGGTCCTGTGTTCTCTGTTTTTAAATGATCCTAAAATATGCACTATTAGAAATTGAAAATACATTTTTATATCACTTCTTCACTTCTGTAATTCCAATTATGAGGTCTAATGCTAAAGATGCGGAGTGATGGTCTATAAGCATTCATATGAGCTCATGGGCTGTCCTATTTTATGCCTGTTCTGTCTTGAGTAAAAAAAAATAAAATTCTAAGATAATACTGTGTAGGAAAAGGACTTGGCATTCATGAATTAGTCTCTTCCAGCTGGAAAATGCTGTGCAATGTTTATCTGTACTGTAGCATTCCTGTATTCTCTAGATCAAAACCCACAATTTTTTGGTATGGGATCTCTAAATCACTTTTAAAATTCCTTTCAAGTTGAGGCATAACACACTCATTTTTACTTTTCCTAAATCAAAAACATTTCACACTTAAAAACATGCATCTTATCTGTTGTGTATGTGTTGATTGCAGCAAATAATGATCACCTGAGTCAAGTGGATGGGGGTGTTGGGATAAAGGCATTCTGCAGTCAAGGTTGGATCCTGTGATCCTTTCACTTAGTTTCTGCTTTCTGGTTTTGTTTATATTCTTGCTTTTATGCTTTGAATTCGTTACGTGTTTTGTTTATAGTAAAACAAAAAGAGGAAACTTTTTTTTCCAGCGCTGGCTTGAAACAAGCTCGTGGTTGTTCAAACTACAGACGGTGTTTATGTTAATGTTGAGATATTTCCAACGGTGGGGAGGGGAGAGAAAGGAGCTTAGAATAATTCTCTTCAGACTTTGAAATGAAATGAGTTTATCTGCCCTGGCAGATTCTTTTTGCCTTTTTATAATACAGATAAATACTAGCCTTTCACTGAAAGAAGATATTATGTATGGATATAATATATGTGGCTATAAATGCAATGGATATATTGCGTCCATAGTATACTCTGAGATTTCCCTTGTAGTATAACCTTAGCATTCAAAACCATTTGTCTGCTTTTCAAACTTTGTTGATACTTATTTTCTAATTCTTATGGAGTAGAAATAAATATTTCTATACTTGAATTTGTTTTTTACTGTTTATTTCTCTGCTGACCATTTTGTTGGAAACTAAGCAATAGAGCACAATGACTGAGTCTTTGGCAAAGAGGATCTAGGCACAAATCACTGAACTTACAGATACTGAGTTAAGTGAAGGCAAAACATTGTTTGTGTAATATCAATTTTTCCTCCCTAGCATAGACCATGAGAACTATGTGGGGTGTTGGTGACCTTCTCCAAATGATTTGCATTCCCTGGCTTCTAATAACAATAATTTTTCAAATGATTTCTAAAGATAATATTTTTGATGGTTTTTGAAATAATGGTATAGGACTGCAGAGTGTTAGGGATGCTGTAGCTTTTGTGATGGGGGTGTGGGATGGCTACTTGGAGTAGAATGATAGTTTATTACGTTTTCAAATTCGGCCTTAGTGTAGATGATCCAACAAGATCCCTGAATGCCAATAGTTCTACTTTTGCCATATTAAATGTAAGTAGTTATGCAGCAAAATGCCAATTCAGAAATAGACTTTTTCCTTTTTATCCAGAAGGGAAGTACTGATTACAGACTGTTATGTGTCTGAATGCCTCGTGTATTTTTGAAAATAACTGAGGGCTCTTTCTTACTTATGGTGATAAGAATAGTGAAAATGAGATAGAACAGTTCAGGTAGCATACTGTTTTCAAGCAAATTCTAATTTCAGTTAATTTTAAAATTTTTCTCTACATGCTTAATCTACTTAAAAGTTGTAAAACAAATTACTGTGTTTCTAATAGAAATGTAGTATTTAATTAGTAGAGATTACAATGTTTGCCAAACCTCATTTGCATAGGTACCACATCAGTGCTGGGGGTGCCAAGTGCCTGTACGTGGTCATCTTTGCTCTGCGCTTCTTGAATCGGGAGTAGAGGGAAACTCAATACAGAAGATGTCCAGGCTCAGTGCAGCATGGGCCCACCATGGCCGAGCATGACCATGGTGCAGAGCCAGCAGCAGCCGTGGCTCTGCAGGGAGAAGGCAAGAGATTTGGCACAGCCCAGGGGTAAGGGGTTGCTTGAGGAGCAGGTGGTAGCCTTTGAGCAAAGTCTGTGAAGGTTGTGGCCCATTTTGCCTCATGGTGGCAAGCTCTTCGCAAGAAGAAACTTTTGAATGCTTACATGGTGTTTGCTCATAGGCAATGGTTTTCAGTTTATTCTGAAATAGTCTCTGAAATTCTGAAATAGTGCTTCTGTTGCCATTGACCATTACATGAATCTTCTGGATGCTGCTATGAGTGACAAATGTGTTATTACATTTCTGTAATGCATAGATTAAGGTATTAGAATAACCTTCTTTCGGTTCAGTTGGATTCAATTTATGCAGTATGCTAAAGGCCAAAATGCTTAAATCTTTTCCTCCAAAGCATAGTTTGCTATGTTATGTTGCCAAATAACTTGCATCCCAAAGTTGCTAAGACTTTGAAGGAATGCAGATGGAGTTGTTGACTTTTACCACATAGCTTTAGGAAATCAAAGATTGCTTAGATACAGCACTGATAAATACTTGCGTCACAGATTGAAGGGTTGAAAATTGAATGGCATTTGTAGTAGATTTTGTGAAATTAAATTAATGGTTTTTCAGAACATTTGTTTCGTGGAGTAACAAATGAAAATAATAAATCAGAAATCCATCTTAAATTTTCCCTTTACTGTGAGCGTTAAGAATTAGGTATTCAGGACATCACCATTAATGTTATTGGCTAGAAAATCTGTGGGTTTGTTTTTTACTGATAACTCATCACAAAAGTGCTTATTTGACTGTAATTACAATGATGTGCTTTTCTTTTTCCCTAGGTGGCTGTTTTTAATGCAGTAGTGTCACTAGTGGCTGAAGACTAAACATGAGAATAGCAGGTAAGTACGCTCAGTAAAATCAGACTTTTGTCACTTGTGAAACAAGTGCTATAGACAGCATTAACAAGTTGTGACAATAAGGTTTTAAAATAAACTTAACTGGTGTAACAGGTATTGCTGTTCCATTTAATTGATGTTTAATGAAACTCATTTTGGAATTTGGGATGGTCTAAGAGCAAGCAGCTGGTTAAAACGCTTCAGCTGATCTGCAGTGACTGGTTAAGGTGCCATGACTTGACATACTTTGGCTGCTAATTCTCTAAGATGATGAAGGAACAAGGCAATGGCTAATCGGTGTCTTAAGTGATTTCTTCCTTGCCTCACACCCCAACCAAAAGTGCTATGCACTGTTATAATATAGTGTCTGAAACTTCCTGAATGGTTAGTGGGAGTTTGAAAGCCTTTTCATAGAGGTAAGTTACTGCAGCACAGGGTTTGAGAAACTGATTTTACTTGACAGAAGGTATAGTGGTTGTAAAAATAAGATCTTTCCCAATATAACACTACAAGAAAATATTATTTTAGACATTTCCTTGCAGTAGAATAGCCTGTGTGGCAATTGAACAATTTTGAGTTTTTGACGCATTGCACTTTTATCAATAGTTGTAGTGTTATGCTGCAGAAGAAGCAACTCTTGACTCTTCCAGGAAAGAATGACACCTTCTTTTCCAAGAGAGTTGCACATTAACCTTCTTAATGCATGAAATTAGTCCTCTTTTTTGTCACTACTTCTAAAGTTGTTTTATTAGCCTCAATGTGTATAACTGGGACCACCCTGCTAAAGTAAATCTGATAAAGAACTGGAAAATGCTGCAACTTTTAGAAGATGGCTAAATCACCTGGAAAACGACTTTTCCGAACCTCTCTTTTTCTTCCATCTAACTACTTTTGTTGCTGAAACCCACAGACAAAAAAGACATGGCAGTTTCTATAGAATGTTTAACCTGTAGCGAACAGGCCGGTTTTGGTTCAAGTGCTAAAAGAATTTTCTAGGACGTTCCTTACCTCTCCCTTAGAGGGAGTGCTTGCAGTTCAGTTGAAAGGCTCAGGATATAGAGTGGAGGGGATGGTTAGTGCTCAGACTGAGTTCTCGTTCATCTCGCCTACCGTCTACTGAAACAACATGCTCTCCAAGTGCCACTTGCTGGATGACACATTCCAAAATCTGGTACCATCTTGTCTTTTTAAGCAGTATTGCTCTGAAAACCTGTTCTCCACTTCTTAACGTATGTTCAGATCATCTGTTTTCTCTAGTGCTTACACGTGGTTCACTTCCCTTCAAGTGCAATAATCTTTGGAGATCCAGCATAATATATTAAAATTAAGTTTGCATCTGTGTTTTCTTACATAGTGTGTATGTGCTCACACACAGGAAAAGGGAAAGTGGGAGAGGAAGACCAAACTACAAACAAACAAAGAAGTTCTCTCTTTCTTCATCTTTCTTTTCTTTTTCTATCCCCTTATCTTTTTTTAGCCTTTTGGAAGGATTGATGAACATCTCTTATCCTTCTGAAGGCTGAGTAATCTGTCTATTTTAAGGTTTTCTGAACAGCCAGTCTCAGCAGCAGTCTGAGATCTGCAGGAGTACATAAGTTTGGGTTTTTTCTGAAGGATTTATTTGGCTGGCAGTCTGAGAAACAGAAGCATGCTGTAAGGTTGCTTCTTCCAAACAGTTTGACATGCTGGGGTAAGATGGGAAGGCAGGATGTTGATCAGATGCCTCCTCACCTAACTTCTACTCTCAGTCAGCTAGTATTTTACAAGAAGCTGAGAGTGGAGTATTCTGTAACAATCTATTGAAAATTATGCTAAAAAATGGCAGGGTTCATGGCAGTACCACATACACCCGAGTTTCCTTTTCAGATATAAATTGCTGTGGTTGTTGCTTCCAGCTCTTCTCCCAGGAGGTGGTTTGACCGCTCAGCACTGGAGAAAGGCTTGTAAAACTTCAAGCTACCTGAGGCCTCAACATATTAAAAGGGGGAGGGGAGAGGTACTGCTTTTTATTACTTTTAAAATTAGCTCTTTTGAGTCTTCAAACTCACTTTTTGAAGATCAGTAATTGAAATTTGTTGAAAAGGAGGTGAGGAGGCTTTTTTTTGTTTGTTTTGTTGTTGTTTGGGTTTTTTTAATGTAATGCTCAGACCTGCCTGACCAAAGCAGCCAAGCTACAGAATATAAACAGATCCCTAATCACTCATTCTTGGCCATACATTAAAATAGAGGTAGCTCAATTTGAGGACCGGGGGAAGGAGGACTATTTGTGGACGGTGAGGAAACAGGTGCACATGGCTAAGAACAGGGAAGTAGAATGGGGGGAGGTGGGAATTTCCCCTTTGGACAGCAGCCTGTTAGATCAGCTTAGTTCATTTTGTTAAGCTGGATTTCCACATAAAAGTCTGTGGTTTCTCCTGGCTGCTGAGCTGAGTGGTGTCAGACGAGCATGCAGCTGGAGAAAGCTGAGAGTGGGGTATGTATTTGGCATAATAACCTGATAGACTGGCTCAGTTGCATCCTACATTATAATGTCCATTTCATGCAGATTACTTCATTTGTGGACTCACTAAACAGATCATCCTGTTTCTGAGTTCCCCTTAATGTAATCTGATAAACATTTCTCATGTACTTAATTTTGGTAAACTTAATGTTATCATTTGCAGATAATTTTCTGAAACTTTTCTCTGCTTCTGAATAGGTGCTGCAAAGTTGGTAGTAGTCGTAGCAATATTTTTATTGACGTTTTATGTCATATCTCAAGTGTTTGAAATAAAAATGGATGCAAACTTAGGACACATATTTGGTAAGTGATTACTTTTTCTCTGGACATATATTTACTTGAGCCGTAATCAAGAATGTCATATTCATTTTGCTTTAAGCTTGACTTAGACTCTTACACTTAAGAATTCTGTGTTTATTTTTAATGTGTGAACTTGTTATTTTTATATATATTATACATATATAATATATAATGTATGTATTAAGTTATTTTCTGTATGAAATATTTAACCATCTCTCTTAAATCAGTTTGATTCTTTTACCTGCCAAGTGTGCATGATTTTACCTGCTTTTTCTGTTTACTGGTACTTATGGTTTTAGTCAGGAGTTGTAAACTAGGTGACTTGAATGATGGTTCTAGAAATCTGCACTTTGCCTTTCTGCTGCTTAAGCAATTCAAAATTTGTTTTGGGTGGGCTTTTTTGCTTGCACAGGTACACTACCACATACAATTGAATGTGCAGTAATCAAAACATTTTAGATGTGCCGCGGTTCTACACAGAAAAGGATTAGCAGCTGAGGTGACTTAAAATTCAGAGTCTGTGTTTTGAACCAACTATATCTTTAAAGGGGCTTTTCATTACAAAACAAACAAACAAACCCAACAGTTTTAGGTACATAGGTGGGGTTCATGTTATTTAACTCCAGGTTGTTACAGTGTGAGCTGACATCTGAACCAGTCACCTGAGGTGTCTTTACTAATTGTTGAAGAGACACAGGTGTCATTAAGTATTGCAGATGTATTGTAGATATGTGCATGATGAGGCCACTTTTATCTCTTCCTATCCCAAGAAGGGGAGTCATGAATGGTTGGGTTCAAGTACGCCAGAGTTGCAGGCTTCCAGTGTTAGGTGAAAGGAACCCCATCCTGGTGAAGCTCTTAAGAAGGGAATTCATTTCTCTTTAGTGCCCACACCTCCACAAGTCCCTGGTGGTTTTGTATCTCTGTGGATCTTTGTGTTAATCGGAGAGTCATAAATTAAGGCAGTGCTTCTAAGTATGGTTCCTGATCACTTTCATTCTTCTACCATGTAAAAGTTAATGTTTTATGTTGGAACATAATGTTCAGATGTATTTGATGCTTCATTTCAACCAACCTGTTTTTATAGGCATATAGAAAGGTTTTAATTTTATAGGATATTTTATAGCAGACAACACTTAAATAGTAACATCTTGTAAAACTTTCTTTTTGCATTTTAGCCAGATCAGCACTGGATGCAGCTGCACGCTGTGAGTATTCATATGCATGTGTTACTGCTGTGGCTTGCTTTCGCTAATAACAGAAGACTGTTGAATTTTTGTAGTTAAGAAAGTCTTTGTTACACTTTAAATGCAGTCAGAAATTAATTTTCTTCTTCCGGATTTGCCTAAATTTCTGGTAAAGTCTGTTTTTTGCCAGCATTTCACTCATAGTTTTGTCTTGTAGCTTTTGATGACAGTGCCAGAGGAAGCAGCAGGGTAAGAACAAGAAGTAGAATAATGAGGTACTGCAGGAACCTAGATTATTTTAAGCTGCTATGAAACTGCAGATGAGATACCATTTGTCTTTGCTGTTTTCCTTTAATTCCTTCAGAAAACTAACTGGTATTTCTGTTAGCCTACCTGTGGTGCTGTCTCTAAAATCCTGTTTTATTTCCTTTTGACAGCTACAAAACCTCCAAGATACAAATGTGGGATCTCTAAAGCTTGTCCTGAAAAGCATTTTGCATTCAAAATGGCAAGTGGAGCAGCGAATGTAGTTGGACCTAAAATTTGTGTAGAAGATAATGTGTAAGTATTTTTACCTGTTGTCTCTAAGTATCTCTTTCAAATGCTGTCTTGGATCACTTCGCACACACAATCAGTAGTTTAAATGATTCTTCGTAAGTTTTGTTTTGCCAACGGTTTGACCACATGAAAAAATTACTTTGCGTTATAACTTAATCTCTAACGAAGCACGCTTAAGACTGCAGTAAATGCAGAGATGCACGCTACTTTAATACATGCATAATAGCTTACACTTTATTTCAGGCTTACAGACTGAAGGATTAGTTAGACTTTGTCAAGTCAGATGCAGACTTGTTTCCAAGTAACTTGTTCTTGTGCCTCTAATAGTAATTCAGTGAATGATTGTATTTTTAAGTAATTACTCTTTACTTCTAACTGAACGTCATCAGCTAAAACTGTGCTGTGGAATTGTCTTTTTGCAAGTCATCTTTAAAACTGTCTGTTTCCATAGTACCAATGTCAGAACATATTCTCCACTTTTCTTTAAAGGAAGGCTTCAAAAGGGAAAAATAGTATTTTAATGATCAGTAGTTATTTAATTGTGCTGATGGTAGCTAAAGTTAATAAACTTAAAATAATTGTGAAATGAGGAAAGGAACAGCTTGAAACACAGTTCGGTTTTGAGTTTAAGTCCTGTATTTCTAATAACCATATTTTTAACACAGTAGTATCAATAATACTGTGCCTAGAGTTTTTAACTGAATACCTTTCAGTAATCCCCATAATGGGAATATTAATATTCATGAATATTAATATTTATTTTTAGACTTTGTTTCTTTGCTTTTAGATTGTTTCTGCTCATTGTCACCCAGAGTGCGCAGCTTTTTATAACAAAATCTATCCATTCAATTTTGCGTGTCACATGTCAGAAAAGACATGATGTTAGCGTTGTCGGAAGGAGATTTTTTTTAATATCAGTCACACTTGCAAGCATTTGCCTTCCATTTGCATTTAAACTACTCCAGTTTAGCTCTTTCTCAGCCCACGCTATGTTAGCACAGAGTGGTTCAGATAGTGTGTACAGCAGTGAGTGCTAATGAATTCTAGAGCAAATGGCAGCTTCACTGTGAACAACATAACCCCATGTAATATAGTAAATAGGATAATTAGTCTAGAAGAGAATAAAAAGTATTGGTTTACATTTTCCATCGCTTTACTCTCTAAAGTAACTCTAAGATTAGTCTTATATGACCTTAAAGAGAAAACTGTATTTTTAGCACTAACTCTAGCAATTAAGATGTAGCAAAGTTGAAATGGGAGCTTTTTTCCCTGGCAACTAAACACATGCAGCTTCTTTGCGTTATTAGTGGAAACACGAGCACCATTCAGATTTCAAGCTGTTCTTCTGTGAGGCTGACTTAGCTCAAGCTCGCTCGCTTGTGTTTGCAGCAGAGCATCGCGGTGTAGTCGAAGAGCACGTGCAAAGTGGGCATGAGCCCACAGTTGGCACGTACTAACTAAAAGCTGCTAGGTTCTGCTTTCCAATCTTATCATTGATTCGCTTTGTGACCTTGGACAGTCTTATCTAATCTCTGCGCGTGGTATTTTTGTTGGTGTTACAAGATGTGCTGCCTTCTCATTCTGGTTTCTAGGAAGCTCAATATCTGTGAAGACTTAGGGTGATTCAGTGATTAAAAGTTGTGGGAGTGCAAGTAATATTTTTAACTTCAGGATTGTAGGGTTGTTTTTTTTAAATGTCTCGCTTACTGGTTAACTAAGAAGAGATTGTTGTTCCTGTCAAAAAAAAAAAAAAAATCCTCTACTGGATATTTCACTCAAGAAAGTGATGAAAAGAAAGTAGTTGCCGGCAAGAAATCCTCTATTCTTTTAATAATAGTGTGCACCTTAGTACACAGCTATTGGAGAGTCTTAAGTCCAGTTTCCCTTGGCAAAAATCTTTCTGAATTCCTTCTGAGGAGGACTTGTAATGTCTATTTAAATATGCACCAGAAAATTTGATTAATTTTATGCTAATTTCCTGTTTTGCTCATAAGATGTTTGGTTTCTCTTTCGAAAGTTCCCATAACTTGTTTATTGCAAATTGTTGGAAGAATTCTAAAACTGATGAAGGGCTGCCCTCCTGTGAGAAAACTGTGACATTACAGCCTGTAGCTTTGTGACTTAGTGCACAGGCTATCTCAGGTGTGTAAAGTAGTATCTCAGAGCTCTGAAAGAACTTATTTCCTCTTCGGTAGCTCTCTTTTTAGTGATATTTTGTGAACTCACTCCTGCAAAATGCTTTTTTCTGATGACTTTGTGTTCTTCATATTTCCAAGACAAGGAAGCAGGGAGAAGTTTTCATTAATTTGTCAATGATATTTACAGTGTAGGTTTTTGCTGTATATTAAACATAAGGATGTCGCTTGGTTTATGAGAGCACTAAAGGTGCTGATATAATTCAGAATGCATTTAATTTCTCAATTTTTCTTTTTAATTATATAGATATTTTGGTGTGAAGTGGGAATCCTGCTGTATAGAAGTTCCGTTATAGCCATGTTCTATTTTGGAAGGACGCAATCCAAATTAGAAAAAACATACTGTAGTCATCATCAAAATATTAAATATTGTCCTTGCTACTTCACGGGCTTTTTAGAAGAAGGGGTGATATTGCTATACTTCTTTACGAGCAACTTCTCCGTGCAGTTTTACTACTTCTGTTAAGAAGCCAGTTGCATGATTGTGCTGCAGTAACCTTATAGCAGAACGTCGCACTACATTCCTTTTAATAACTAGTCACTCTTCTATTCATATTTGCAGGACTTTTTTGTTGTCTGAAATCCATTATCACTTTTGTTATGTGTGTGTGGATTTTCAGTGTCTAGTCACCCCAGTTATGTTGTACAAGTCATTTTCTAGCTCAAACAGAATCCAGTGCATAGCATTAGTAGCAAGGCTTGCTAAAGCCTTAGGCTGCAAGCTGTCAACTTTCACCTGGGTACGCTGACTGAATACTGAACTTTTAAGGAAGGCCCCAAAATCAGTGCAAGCCGGAAAGATAAGGTAGCCACAACCGTCAGCAGAAGCTGCATCCACTAAGATAAGAAAAGGAATGTCCCACCTGGAGACAGAGAAAGGATCTAATGAGGAACAAGGAGATGCCAGGCCCAAATATTGCTATTGGACTGAACTGTTGTGTGAGGGGAGGGGAACTTAAATTTTAGGGGTATAATTGCCCAGGGATTTCTTTGTTTGGGGTCCCTTTCCAGGGGCACCCAGCTCGAGCTGTTTTTTTACCGCTGTACCACTCAATAAATTTGTCTGGCATACATTGTGTCAGAGACTCAGCTTCAGGGAAACTTAGGGTCGAGCCTGAGGGGAGAGAAAGTGCCTGTGAGTGTGTGGTGTCTGTGTGAGGAGTCGGAAAGGGGCAAATGTGGGCTCAGTGGAGCTGCTCGCTGTGAAGGGACTCTGGTCCTAGCAGTTAAAGTCTCGGGTAGTGTGCGTGCGACTCCCTGAACGGCGTGTGAATGCTCGGGCAGTGGCTTCTCCTTTAACAAGTATTGGATATTTTTTGACTGTTACTTATTTACAGAGAATTTTGTAGTTAAAGTAAAAGGAAGTTCTTATTCTTTTTGATAAATTAAATGTCCACTAAATTTTATATGAGCGGAGGGATGTGTTCAGAACTTCACTGCCTTTTTTCATTTGTTTTCAGTCTCTATTTGCCATATGTTTTTATTGTTTAGAATGGATGCTCAGACATGACATGAAAATCATGTGATCAGAGAAGAAATGATCCTCCAGTGGCTAAAAGACTTCTGGAGTTCCCTGCTAACCAGAACTGCATTCTGCATTTCAGCAGAAAACTTCAAGTCTTCTGTTTCAGAAGTTATTGAATTAGAGTTTTAATTTTAATCAGAATTTTTGGCAGATGGTATAACTTAGAGGACTAACAGAAGAATATGGGCTCTTTCATCTCTGATTACTAGTTCTTTAAAACCTAAGTCAGTGTGCCAAGAGTTACCATTAACTGGTATTCTTTCATGGCCTCTCTGAACTAGCTAATACTGAGTCTGTTCCTGAGAGTTGTCTGTTAAATTTGAGATTCCTCTAAATTTTGTCTTCTGGCTTCATCCTGGGTGCAAAAGATAGCATCAGAGAGGAAGATTTTTGTCATACTTCTGTGATAGACCATTTCTTGTTTCTAGCCTATCACTAATAAGTTAGCATGAGAAAGCTGGTGGTGCAGTTGCGTGCGTAAGGATGTGGTCCTTCCGAAGCGTTGCTAAGAACAGATGTTCAGACATGACCTGAAAATCATATGATCTCAGAAGAAATGTGAAAAAAGTTTTGAACATAACAGGATTGTACACATCTGCAGCCCCTTCCTAGAGCAAGCTAGGGAGGTTAAAGAAATCCTGATCGGGATGGAATTAAAGCATCTGTTAGAGTGTGTTTGTAATTAATGAGATATGTGCACCTATGTGCTTACACTAAGGTGCTTTCTTGAATCTCAGCTGAAGACTTCTTCGTTATCTTAATTTATGTAATTGTTTCAACCCTTACTCCTATTTCTCCTTGTGTATGTTAACTCTTTTACTCCTAGCTTTAAAATGTTAATGTGGAGATATTTGGGCCTGGAGGCAGAATAGAGATCTTTATACAGTGCCAGTGAAAAGGGATGATGAGGTCTGGAAGCTTCCTCTCACTGGAGTGGTACACCCACCATGGCCCAAGGCAGCACAGCATCCTAGCTAACAGTCTGGATGTTCCCATTAGGTCCTCTTTACAGCTTCGAAGGGCTTCCATTTCACAGTGCATCTCTTCTTTCTGGCTCCTTTGCCACTCTGAGTTTGACCAAGTAATTGCTGTCCTAGATTGCGATGGTTTTGTTGGGATGTGTAACTGTACTCCAAGATTATGTTAAACTTATGTTTAAACTCCCATCAGTGTATTAACTGTTTTTCTTGCATTTAGGTTTCCTGTTAGAGGTACAAGTAGCTAACTGCTTTGACTTTCTTGTTTCTTGGTGTGATGCTGCAATATTAATTTTAAATGCTTCTGTTCAGCTAGCTTTTAAACTCATTAACACATTTTTGTTCATCCTGTGCTTACAAAAAAGCTTAAAATGTTGGTTACGTGACTATGCTAAGCTCCTCATATTATTATTTGTTTCAGGCTCTTTAACTGCAAGGAATTTTCTTAACTACATTAATAGCAGTTTATTTTTTGTGACACTTTTAATATACACACATACTTTGAAACCCAGATGATTAAGCGATCAAATGATCAAATGAAATGGATACAACTGGGGATATTTGGTCTGTTGTTCTCAATTCAGTGGTGCTGTAAGAGCACACGGATTAGTTCAAGGAGATTTTTCTTCATCTAAGTAGTCATGAACATGTGGTCTTTCAACTATGTATCTCTTACAATTTGATCCTATTTAAAACCCAGAAATATTCCACATCGGAAAATTGTCCTATTAAAAATAAAATTGTTTATTTTGTTTCAGTTTAATGAGTGGAGTTAAAAATAATGTTGGCAGAGGAATAAATGTGGCCTTGGTCAATGGTAAGTGACATTTTAAGTGAGCAGATTGTCTTCATTTTCAAATTGTTTCTGAAATTTAAGGTGAAATACTAAGGGATGGTGAAAGGCAAGCAGGAGGAGAAAAGGAAGTATTCAGCACATTTATGCTGAGATAATGTCAGATCTTGGCACTTACACCTTTTTGTTAGAAAGTAGAAAAATTCAGTGCATTTTTGTTTCCAAGAATGTGTAGTAAAAATAGTCACCACAGCACTCCACATTGCTATCTCAGGGATACATCAGAAAAATTCCCAGCGCACATATAAAATGGAAAAAAACCCATGAGATGGATGCTACTTCTTTTGACTTTGTGTGTTGCCACCACTGATAAAACTTTGTAGATTAAATTCTTCTGTTGCTCTCTTTTCAGCGAAACTTATTTAACAATTCTGTTACTACATGGAAAGACTAGCTCATTATTTCCTAGCTTGAAATCAGTATGTTTGATTAGTCCATACCTATAGATCTTGTCCCTAAATACATCATGTTATGTAATTGTGTTCAGGATTCTTAACTTTCATTAAAACCAGACAAATTTACCTGTGTGTCACCTTGAAAGCTGAACTGAACATCAGTACTGGCAGATTTGTCCTTAATGTGTAGGAAGCAATTCCTTGTAGCACTGAGCACTTTGTCATTTCACTGCAGTATAAATTCATGTTATTTTTGGATTGTACTCAGGTTTACGTCATCTGAAGCATGACTTGAACAATAGTCGCCTAATCCTATTTTGCCCTCCTAAATTGTCTCAATCTGTTCAAACGCAAAATACCTACCCTTGTGTTATATAGCTGCCAGTCTTTCTCCCTGTCTTCCAAACTTTAAATGAATGTATGTATTAAAAAGAAAACTCTACCTACCATCAAATACTGCCTTTGTCAACAGTATAGTAAAAAAACCCAAACTTAACGAGATTACTATATTGTCCACTTTCTTCTGTTTGTTCTGGATGTTTAAATGGACTAAGAATTTCCACTCAGTAGCAAAACATGCAGTGTAATTTTAATCTTTCTTACTTTCTATGTGGCGCTAAAGGCAACCTATAGCTGTACTATCTAGTCTTGCAAAACCAGCTTAATAAAGTAAATAAATGAAGTGAATTCTCTTTATTGGATTTAGAGGCTGTGGGCCTTTTGTTTTATTTTCTGTCCCACCTGAAGCAAAATCAGAAGTTTGCATCACTTCGGGACTTGCTCCTTGACTGGCTTTTTCTGGAGTCCCCCACCTTCCCATGGCTCTGACAGTGTTAAACATAAGACTTTCTCCTCCCCCCCCCCCCCCCCCCCTTACCTTTTCCTGCACCTTTTCACAAACTATGATGCTGTTTAAGGAGCATATCTTCATAAAAGCTTTATCTTCATAAAAGATGAGAGTTACCGTAGTGATTGATTTATATGGTGTCTTCTGCAGCACTTTCTCTGAAAGAGTCATTAAGAGGAGTTGGGCATGTTGTCTATAAAATAATTTTGGCTATATTTGATGACACCAAATATTTCTTTTTCTGCAGGTAAAACAGGAGAACCATTAGACACTAAATTCTTTGACATGTGGGGAGGAGGTAGGTGGTTAGAAACAAATTAAATTTGTCAGGTTCTGTCTGTCGGGTTTTGTCTGGTTGTGTCTGTGGTCCCCCACACCCCCCCCCCCC